TTATATTAGCTTTTAGGCTGATGTTGACATTTTGAATGTTTAGAGACTGATAGCTTTCATTACAGATGTCTTCCCTTCACCCGTGGTGCCGTGGAATCCAAATGATCACAACCACAACCAAACAGGTCACGATGATAAACATTTCAATCATTTGTGAAAAAATCAGACAAATTTCGACCTACACGACAATTACTAAATCTGTATCTTATCTGTCTTTTATTTAGTTCTGAATTTGGTTTACATCATCATTCCCACCATCCCCCTCATACTGCTGCTGCTGACAGTGACAGGCGTCTGCTGCTTCAAGCTGATTGTCCGACGGTGAGGATCCAAAATAAAGGCAAATACTAAATGCAAGAATACTAAAGACAGCAATGTCACGAGGTTATGGTGACATACACACACAGTGGGCATGAATCTCATGGTAACTGGGAGCAAAAGGTGGAATTTATTTGGGATTTTCTCTAAATCCACACAGGGCCAGAATTATACATACATCCCCACTAGTATTTGACCTTTCCAAAGTTCCAACCTCAACCATATTGAAGTCTACCAAAAGCATCTGGTTGCAGTGTAACTTGCTAAGGGAAATTTAACCATTTGAGGAGATTAATGTTTCCCAATTCAGTTTTCAGTATATTTGAGATCATTGGCCTGTTGGGTCACCCAACTGTGTCCATGTTTCAGTTCATGGTAGGTTTGATCCTTCAAGCTTTCTGGGTTCTTCCAAAAAATCCTAAACAAATTTACTCTCATCTGGGTTAAAAAAAAATCTGAGTTTCTACTAGACCTTGGCAAAGTGGTGGCACATCAGAATAATTTGTATTTGTGTACACTTGTTTGAACTGATGATCTTGAAATCTGCTCCAAGCAACCTTCCCAACATCCTTCTCAGATATTCACTGAGTTCATAGGACATTCTTATTATTCTAAGTATTGGTCAATCCAATGAGTGCTGTTAAATAAATCCTTTATATGCTGGCAAAGGAAACTACCAGTTTTAATCAGTTCTGATCATTAACAAAATGGTAAATGGTCTGTATTTGTATAGCGCTTTACTAGTCCCAAAGGACCCCAAAGCGCTTTACACATTCAGTCATCCACCCATTCACACACTGGTGATGGCAAGTTAACAGACACTGTAGTGTTTCAGCAACTTCAGCACAACTTATTAAAAGACTTAAATGAGTGTATGTATATATTTGAGCCTGTGTGGACTAGAGAAAATCCTAAATAAATTTAAACTTGTGCACCCAATTATTGTTCTTTAACGTTATTAAAGATTTATGCAGTACAATCATATTTACTCTGGAAAACAACTGTTTAAAGAAATCATTAAAAGCTCAAAATGACTGTGATATTCATGCCCATGACGACTGCATCTAAACGTCTAACCACAATTGCATTGCTACTTTCCCTATTTCTACCTCTAATGGTAAAAAAAAAAAGGGTTTTCCTCTTTATAGCATTATTTGAGCTCTTCTTCCAATTACATGCTCACTTTTCTTCCCTATCAGTAGCACTTAGTCCGCTATAGATTGACAAATCCGAAATGGTTTAAAAATGTAATGTTTTTTTTTTTAATTAAAATGTCTGAGAGATTTCTAAACACAGCTGAGATGTGCAGTTTTTCATAGACATGACTCATACTGAAGTACACTGAGGAGGAGTATTTTCAATGTTGATTAATACACAATATTAATTTATGGCAGCATTCACAATGATGTATGTGGGGTGTGCTCATAACACACAGTAACAATCCATAAAGGTGGAGATAGATAGATAGATGGATAGAGTCATGTTGTTTTCTGTATGCGTGAATGTTTTAAGGTGTCTTGTTTGGTGTCTTCTCTCTCTGTGTGACAGGAGGAGGAAACAGCAGAAATCCGAAGTATGTCAAACAGACCCAGGACTGTGCCCAAGCCCAACTTCAACTGATGTCTACAACGTCATTCGTTCCCAGAAGGATGACGACCTCGTGTCAGCTCGCCCGCAGACCAAGAACACCTCCTTTTTATGCCCCTCCCCTGACACACCAACTGGTGACTACGATAATCTGGGGGGCCGGGACACAGAGAGCGGCTTTGTGACACTTGCAAGCACAGAGAGCTGTTTCCTAAACTTTGACCTCAACGACCTCAGCCTCGGGCGCCGTGGCACTCATGACTTCTGCGACACCAGCTTGGGCCGCTCAGGGAAGAGGGACGTGAGTGGCAGCAGTTTGGGTCGCACGGGTCACAGAGAGTTCTACGACAAGAGTCTGGGTCGTCGTACAACGAAGAGCGAGCATTTCGGCAGCAGCCTATACAGGGACCACGGACTGTATGATGGCAGCACCACAGCGGGGAGTGACCTCTATGATCCCAAACTAAGACCTGGAGGTCACACACGAAAAGCTGACCTGTATCAGACATACTTCACCAATGGAAAGGAAGACACTTACCGAACCAGCCTCGGAACCTACGGAAACCGAAAGTCCTACAACGCAAATGTGGATTGCTACAGAAATGGGCTAAATTTGGACGATGGAAGAAGATACTTCAACGAGCATGAATGGATCAACAGGGAAAATTACTGATCGCCTCAAAATCTCCTTTATTATGTGTACAGCACTGAATGAGTGAATGATACTGAGAGAGTGGCTAAAGACTGTGCATGGTTTTAAATGTTTCTAGTCTGTTATGTTTAAAGGACTGAAAATCAGGTTGAAAAAATATATAATTTATATTTTATAGCTGGCCCAATAATTCAGCCTGTAGCCTGCTGGTAGACTAGTCTGTGTAGGCATTCGTTTTTGGTAAATGAACACAATTTTGTCTACGAATACTAAAGTAACCGGGTGGCGCAAATAAGTTATATTTGTTTATGCAGACAGTTTGATGTGCTCCCGTTTCGTGATGTCTCAGCCTCTTCCTCTACAGTGATGCTTACTGAAAGAACGCAAATCAACGAAAAGATTTGGGTTACTCAGAATCATTCAGACCTACTGTAATGAATTTCTTTTGAAGACAAGGTCATAGGATTATTTGTGACTTTATTACAGGGAGGTAGGGGCAGAAATACATCAAAGCAACAATTACAAAAGGGGAGTCTGTTACTGGCATTTCCACAATTTTACGCATTGATTTCTGTTTACAGTTTACCCTGAACGGGCTGCGTATAATGCCTTAAACGATGTCCGTTCAATCTGTGCCGTTCTGTGCTTTAAAACTTCCAAAGGCGGAACGAAAAGTGTTGTAGGTTTGGGGTTAGAAAAAACAAAAATGCATGGAATAACAAAGACTCAGGTTAAAGTTTCGTCCTATTTAAAAATGATCCAAAGTGACAATATTACACGAGATAATTCCAAACCACCGGAGTACCCTTGACACAAAGGTCACCTAATGGTAAAGCCTCCAGTTTATCTGGACCTCACTAAAGCATCCAAGCAAATATTTCAATATATGCATGCATAGGAAGTTTTTGGAAAGAGCCATAATACAGTTACATTACAGAAATGACCCAGTAAAGAAGCACCTACTGTAAGCTAAGCTCACATTTTCTTGTGTACATGGCATCATTACCAAAATGTAGACGTTTACAGTTGACTCTGAGGATTATGAGCATCTCTGTCTATAAAAGCATGTGTGTGTAGCAGCCTGTTTTGCATGGTCGTGTCATGCTGTGCTTGCTTGGTAAGATAACTGAGGTCTTGAACTGTTATGTTTGCTGTGCTTGAAAACTGTTTTGTACACCCAAGTATACCTGAGAGATGCGGGCTACCTCAAACAGATTAAACACAATAAACCAGTACTGCTCGTGGAAGGTGGTTGTATTTATCTCCTGTGTGGTTTTATATTGCCTTAAATTGTGACGAGACCTTAATTTTACACACTTATTAAAGTATTTATCAAAGCCATTCTTAAAAAAAACAACAAGTGCAACGGTAGCTGCTACAATTTAGCTTGAGTGCCTGCAGCCTAACCAAACATTACGGCATGCTATTACAGTGTAATATAAACCAAAGCATCATTATTACTATTAATTCAGAATGTATTATGTCTTGATATCTCTCCTGTAAGTGAAAGTGGTTTGTATGTTTGCTACATAAGGAATATTCCAATAAAATGAGATGAAAAGCCAACCTGTCAAAGAGTGACTTTACTGCCCCAATAAAAACAACATCGGATTTATATTCACAGTCAATCATGATTTTATTAAGTTAAATTACTTAAGCATCCTTGGTTTTATTTATCTTCCACACTCATACCCGACACAGCACACAACAGGACACTGTTCAAGCCCAGACGCGAGAGGATTTCTGCGTTTCACTGGTCAGAGAAATTCCTCCAGTCAGGCCACATTTTCAAGTTTCGAATACGGGCTGAATTAATGCAAATATTTTGTGGTGTGCATCCCCTTAAAGACATCCGGCTCAACACAGGCATACAAAATAAGATAAAACGTCCAGCTGCCAAGCATTTTCTTTCACTCTCACATGCACTGTCTCACACACAAGCTCAAAAGCAGACTGATGTCTTTTCCACATATTTTTCTCAACTTTTTCTAATACGTTTCTGCCTTTCATCCACACGCAAACACTGTTTGGTCACCAAAAAGTGGTCCAGGGTGGTGATATTCGGAGAGTCTGTGTAGTGTTGATGACAAGTAAACAGGGGGATTGATGTCTTTAAAGGGTCTGATAGCTTCAAAGGTTTCTTGAGACAACATGCACACTGACACACAAATACCAGCTGTTTTGAGAAGAGGTGATTGACGTCTTTTGTTGGGATTTTGTACAACTGCACAGGTTCGGGTGTAAAAGGTCAGCCGTGGCTCCGCTTACGAGGCTGCTTTTGCCGCCGCGGTTTTAAGATGGCGTAGCGCCTAAAGGTGATGTGGTGGTCAGATATGAATGGGATGTAGAACGCTCTGAAGAGAGGAGATGACCTGAGAGAAAAATGCCTTACATGTAAACAATCTGCTTCACATTGTAGATCTCCTTAATGTTTACATTTTCTCAGGATGTTTCCTTTTCTTTTCAACTGCAATACGTTATGCTTTTTCCTTCATTTACAGATTTTAATTTTACTGTTTTTTTCCACTTATTTGTAAAATATTTACTTGTAAAACTACCTTGATGCTTGAAGAAAAGGCTTATAAGCGATGATAGTCCACTCCTCTTTGCTGGCTGAGTAACGTGGCTCAAGCGGCGTCTCTTCATCTGTGTCTAGATCCACTAAGTAGTGGCACTGTTTTAAATCAACCTGCACAGAGAAGACAAATACATTTTTAATTTATTTGCTCTTAACTACAGTATTAGTTAGCAAACATGTCTGCGTCTAAGGAACTTACATATCTGCTTGGCTCCTCCAGGTTCTGATCGTTCATATTAGCTGGGATGATCTGTGTGGCCAGAGGACCAGAGGCATACGGCTGAGGCAGCTGCCCCTTAAACTCAGACTGAATGAAGTGCAGTTGCCAGCTGGAGATTAAAAGAGAGACTTTTAGCTTAGTAAAAACATAAAAATGAGAAATCACCCTTACAGACTTTATCAGACACTGAAAACCTGTGCAGATTTTCTGGACACCGACTTGTGTGGGAGAAGAAAACTGCTCGGGAAGCGATACCACTCTTTGCCAACACATACGCTGACAGGCCTGCTTTCGGGGACCGAGTGAAGAGTCGGATCCTTGGCAATGCGGTGAAATTCTGGGTACAGGTCCAGAGGGGCATGGTAGCCTGTAAACAGACCAAAATATCATGAGCCTTCGCTCAATGCTGATGCTTAGGGAAAATGGGACACACACACAAACCTCTGAAGAGGGCGACAGAACGAGACAGTGACAACACAGCGAAGACCACCACTGCGCTTAAAGCCAACCAGTTCGAGGAGACGGTGTAGTGTTCCAGTCGGTATCGCTGGAACAGGAAGTGGTAGCATTTCTGTAAATAAAATGAATAAAATCCATTTCATTTACGTGCACATTTGTGACCAAATGGGCCTAAAAATGCTGAAATCAACTAACGCAGCAGGCTGTTTTGCTTTGAAAGCCAAAATTAGACAATGGTAAACTACACCTGTAATGAGGAGAGGGCAACTGCCCCGCTGAGGCAGATGAGAGGGTAAATAGGAAAGAGAAAACGCTCTTCTTTATGAGGTCTAGTGAAGAAAACCAACATCCACAGATACATGGGAGACAGAGTCAGCCAGTACGGGCGGCCCAGGTTCTGCACTGAAGAAAACACATGTGTGTACAACGATGTGAAATCACAAAAGGTAAACCCTGTAAATGTGCTGGAAGATACTGAATATACTGCACTGTGGAGCACAGTGACTTAGAAGAGTGCTAACCGGAGTTAATGTGAGACAGTAGATGAGGGTAACTACCTGGACTAAATCACGAACAAATGTATATAGGTGAGTGAATCATTACAAGTGTAATGTAAATGTAACAAGCCAAAATCAACATATTTTGTGCATACGCAGGAAAACACACCATTGAACCTGTGTAACAGTGTCTCCATGAGAGCAGTGAGTGGCAGGGAAAACAGTGCCAGAGCAAACACCAGGTTGAAGTTCAGGACGCCGTTTACAAAGTAAAAATGCCACGGCTCCGTACCTGGAAATTAAACAACAGAAAGCAAGTGAAGTTACCCTGTGCCCAACAAAAACTGCAGCGACAAACTGTTAAATCTTAATATTTGCTTGATATTGTCATTGACGTATTATCAGTCCAACAGTTACTGTAGTAAATTAGGCAATTCATAAAAGGCATATCCAACATTGTATATCCTAAATATCTCATACTTTATATAAATATCACATGTGGATGTATTGAGGTATTAAATGTGACAAAACAGGTCATTTACCATATAGATCAGGCCCATGTGGTGTAAAGACATTGTACAGGAGAATATTGAGTGGCGCTATGACCAGTTTGCCATAAAAGAAAGAGTCCACCGCCACCAGAGGTACCTGAGAACACAAGATGAGAAGGAAAGTGAACTGATGCAGGTCACATAAACATTAAGCTCCTGCATAAAAATATTCTATAATTCACAAAGAACTACAGATACAGATGGACAAAAGGGTTAAGCCACACCTCTTAAATCTTTGAATTTGAGTTCTATATTCTTACCAGCAGCAGAAGCAAAGCAATAAATGACCAGGTGATGAAACTCTTCCACTGCCTCTTCAACACAAGCAAGTCGAAAGCAATTGGAAGTCTAAAGAGAGAGAAGAAACTTCAATGACACAGTAGCTGATCCGGCTCACATTCATCCCAGTTCATATGTTATTGTAACGTGATACAAGTGATACATTTTTGTTGTCAATGGTTGGCTGTATTGCACTAACTAAAAAGAATTAAACTCCACTGAAAATTCAAGCAAGCCCGTAAACATTTATATCCAGAATAAAGTAAAAAAAAATTTTAAGGTGTAAAGTTTTTTCAAAAAAGCTGTATTACAATTAACACATAGTTAAAAGCCTGCAATGCCAGTATTTAAAGTCATACCCGATCAATGCAGAGAATGGCCATCCAACAATGGCGCCGGCAGCCACGCCGATGATGGCTAACGGTGTTGAGTCTTGG